CTTTTTATTTTGTTTAAAAGTACCATATTTTCCCTTCATTTCCTCAAAAACTAAGAATTGTTTATTAATTATTAATGAATTTATAAAATTATTGCGTTTTAAAGCAAAAATCCCCTATATGAAAAACTGTAAATTATAACACTGTAGGGAGGTGAATATATCACAGCTAAACGCTTGGACACGTAAACTTAATTTTTGGTCGTAGATTACAAATTCGTGCTTGGTTTAGCTGTATCAGGTCAAAATTCAAAGATATTGGAAACACCCTGTATAAATTTAAACACCCTGTATATTTTTTTTTATTAAATTTGGCGGGACCCACACTTCACTTCCAAATTTAAAAAATAAGTTAATTGATCAAAAGATACAAGTGTCCCTAAGGATTTTTCTTAGATAATTTGGGAATTTTTTTAATTATTTTTCTTATTGAGTAAAGTTGAGGATATTATATTAAATGAAATAAAAGGCATAAAACTGTTGGCACAAGAGGTTAATTATATTATATTATATTATATTATTATAATTATAAATTATAATTAATTATAATTAATAAATATTTTAATTTTAATTATCATTATAAATTGATAATTATCAGGGGGGGCGGGAGGCATGTGCAAACGGTGCGGTTGCACCCGGCCCCGCGTTTTATAGGCCCCGCACGCATCAAGGCGTCTTGACGTAATTATTGTACATTTTGACAAAATGGCACAGAGTGGAAAATGGCAACCTGTAAGAGCAGCTCGACAACATAATTATATTAATATGTGGACATTGCCAGAGATAATATCTTTAGTAGCTATCGCCATCTATCATTCCGTCCAATGTTGCTAAATGTGTATTTGAAGTTGCCTGTATCCGTTTGGAACAGATATTATCGCGCCGGGAAAAAAGTTGTTCTAAATTAAAATTAATAAAAAATAATTTATGTTTGTGCTAAGAACGACTGTCAATAGAGAAGGAGGTTGGAAGAGAACTGGATATGACTTCAAAAACCATTGACGTCTTTGCTTCCGCCAAAGCACGGAAAAAATATATGTGATTTTTTCTTAAACGTTAATTTCTATATTAATTGAAGGGGTTCGAGCTGAAACCACCCAAGTGCATTTTTAAGTCAAAATGTTCTACTATCCGGTAATACGCTTAAGAAATTTTGAATTAAAAATGCAGCTCTAACCCCTTCAATTGGTTTATCGTTTGATGTTTTATTAGTTTAAAGCCGCTAAGCGTTGTGTTAATTTTTAGTTTAAGCCCCGCATTTTTCTTTTGCACCTGGCCTCTAATAACACTAGTTTACAGCCATTTTGCCCACCATGTCTCACTATGATTTTCTTGTGTAGTTTGGCTCAAAGATATTATCTTTGGTTTGGCTCACTAAACCCGAAAATCACACTTTTCGAGATATGAATTTTCAATTGTTTTTTTTTTAATTTTCTGAGGTGTTTTGACGTATAGATTATACTTAAAGGAAAAAAATAAGCTGATGTTGATAAAAATCCATGGATAAATGGCGAAGTTATGAATTTTTCAGTGGAAGACCAAAATTGAGTTTTTTGAGAATTTTTACGTTTTTTCTTCATTTTATTGAATTAAATAAAATTTAATATTGAACATTGATTAAATATTGAAATTAAATATTAGATATTAAACAATAAATATTGAACATATTGAAAGTTTTATTTTGTTGTAATAAGTATAGGTTTAAAAAAATCTGGCTCCTTCTTTGTTTTTTGTTGCTTTCGTATTCCGTTTCTCGTATGAGGGACCAAATGTAATCACCCATCATGGCTGCATCCCAGAAGCCGTGATACCGCCGTTCCATAGCCTTCATTTGCTGGTGAAAACGTTCTCCGTGCTCATACTTCTTTTATTTACACTTTTTAATAACTAAATAAAACCATGATAAAAATACCCTGTTAAAATATCAAAAAATAGTAGTAAAATGTCACTATGCCAACACGAGAAATAAAAGAATTTACGTTTGCGGAGTCATGTTAAATTTAAATTTTGAATAATGTTTTGAAAACATTGTTTTCGGTGAAAAAAGTACGTAAAAAACATATTACAAAATAAAAGAAAAAAAATAAAATAAAAATCGTCAAAAAGCTGAATTTTGGTCTTCCACCAAAAAATTCATACCTTCGACATTTTTCCATGTATTTTTATCAACATTAGCTTGTTTTTTTTTGTAAATATGTTAGATTCACGAAAAAAAAATCAAACTGGCGTTATCTGTTTTTCAGGACAATTTGTAAATTTTCGACCTCAATTTTTGCCATAAAAACTAATCCGATATCAAAAGTATGTAAAAGAAAGTTTTCGAGGGCTTAAATAACTTCAATTTAAGGGCTTGTTTGGCCAAATCGATCAATTAGATTTCAAGCTATACTCAAAAACGTCAAAACACCTCCGAAAATTGAAAAAAAAAACAATTGAAAATTCATATTTCAAAAACGCTGTTTAGTGGGTCAAAATACATGGAAAAATTATAATGGGAATGGTGGGCAGATTTATTTTCGATTTTGTAAACTAGTGTAAGCTAACGCCGGCCCTGCCCAAGTAGTGGTTAAAACGTGTTGGCCCACGGCGTTCTCTATAGGAATAGAGAACGCCGTGGTTGGCCACTTATACTTGGAACTGTAAAGTGTATTGTCAAAATCTCTACCACGTGGTAGAAACGGTTCTATTACGTGGAAGTGACTAAAATGGGGAACACTTTTTTAGTGTCAGTTACGTTCCAAGAACGTTCTTGAATTGTATATAGACACGTTTATACCACGTTGTGATTACTATAACGTGGAGGTATAGTGGCCAAAACTTAATCGTAACTTTAATACTCTTTACTTTCTATCCCTGTCTCTTTTCAGCATATTATTTATCTTATTATCTTTGCTTTCTCTGACTGGATATTAAACTAACACTGAATACTAAAGTTATATTGTAAGAATACAACTTGCAAATAATAACTAGAATTAAAATAATCCGAAGGCATACAATTAACACGAATTAAATTTTACTGTCAAACATGGGTTTCATAGCTTGAAATATATGCACGCCCTGTTGAAATATGTGGTAATAAAAAAGAATATTAAAATCTATAAACTTAGCGGATATGAAAATTATTTATCTAGAGGCCTCAAATAATTTTTTTATTATTTCTGGTCACCTGAAACCAATAAATATGTATTAACTTCCCAGGTAGCACAACGTGACGAAACCGTGGGTTGTTAAATTTGATGCGGTAATAACCAGAATTATTTGTTTAAAACTACACATTTATTTCCCTACAATGGCGATTATTTGTACTTAAACATGTCTGCTTTTGAAGAAGGGAACTTTAAAGTGGTAATCCTATACGAAACGTGGAAATCACTTAACACGTTCACTGCCGACGAAATAGTCCGCCCATATTGCAGGGCCGATGTTTTTTTGTTGGAAATTTTAGCTAAAAATTTACCAAAAGTTGTTTATCGTTTCTTATCGTAAGGTTCTATATGAAAAAATACAACAACAAAAAACCAATAAACAAACGCGGTAGACGCGTTGGCGGCACCCAGCGACAAAAACAATGCTATATGCCACCGTACAGAACGCGGGTCCCGCGTGCTCGGCATATTGTAAAATACACAAGAACGCGGTAGCCGCGTTGCCGGCAGTTAAAGGGTTAAGCATGTAGCAAGAACGTGGCAATCACCACCAAAATTAAATAATTAAGTTTAATCAATCAATACCTACCTAATTAAGTGATGTGATTTGGTTGCCGTTAGTTTAGACAACTTTAACGTGGTGGCAAAAGTGGTCATAACCTTTCAGATACCAGACTAATACACCAAAAAGTTATAAAACTATGAAATATATTCTGCTGGTGCAAATCACCTGATTACAACTATGCTAATATAATATGAAGATATTTCAACTGTATCGTGGTAGATTTAGTTATTTTAACGTTATTGCCACTGATTTGGTTGCCGATACTATTCATAATACACTCAAAAGTTTAGACAACTTAAAAGTAATGGAAAAAGTGGTAGATTTAGTTATTTTAACGTAATTGCCACTCATTTGAAGTGGCGATATCAGTTTTCGTCACTATAATGCTACTTGGGTGTTAATTATATAATTTCTACCTACATTACATTAGTAAAAAAAGACCATTTAAAATGCAGAGATATATCTAGTTCACAATCCATGATAAAAGTTTGAACACTTGACCACCTGAGTGCCCACCCAGTTTAGGATAGATTGATACAAATTTCTACTATTCTCATTGTTCTTTTTGCCAAAAATTCTTTATTTGTAGTTTTTTTTATTGGAATCAGTAACAAATTTAATATGCTGTTGCAACTTTAATTAAATATCTCGAAAACGAATGAATAGTTAAATTAAAAATTCAAATATTGAATGCTATTTTTAGCAAAGGAATATTTTAATTAATGTTTGTTAAAAAATTGAATTTTTATTTAAAAACAGAATTTTGTGCTCTTACGCCAACCTTAAGATTAATGTATACCCCCCAGCACTGCTATAAAAGGTAGTTAATAAAAATTGATTACTTTTTTGGACCACTAAAAACAAAAAAATATTTTCTTAGAAACATGCTCATAGAACAAAGAGACATTTAATACTTACTAAAAATTAAAACCCCAACAATAAAAACAGGTTAAAAAGCCGTCACAGAATGACCCCTGATGATAAAAATACGGTAAAAAAACAAATGTACATAATTTACATAATAAAACCCGTGGAAAACGTCTTTATAACGCGTTAAAAAATAGAAAACAGAAAACCAAATTAAATCTTGATATCTACTTGGTACCTACTTAAAACGATATTAAGCGTAAAAAAACTAAAATTTTAACTATAGACAGTCAATTTTTTACGCTTTTTCTTATAAGAATCTTTTTTTATACGATTGTAGGTAGGCAACTCAGAATACGCGCGGTATAAATTGTTTGCCTATTCTGCGCATAAGGCGATCTGTATGTGCGCGATTGTCACACAACACTTTTGACAGGAAATAGTGTTTATTATAATGTTTTTACAAACTGTGTGTATTAATTGAAAGGAAATTTAAAAGGTAAGCGATTATTTTGTTTATTTTAGCGTTGTTTTTTAATTTAATCAATTAAATCACTTGTATGGCATGTTTAACCTAATAAATAGGTAATTGTTTTATTAATATAATTAATTTTATCGGTGTTTCGTATGATAAAAATCGATTTTTTTTAAATAATTTACGCATAGTTTTAGATTTAAATCATGACATTTTTAGGCCATATTACATAAATTAGGTACACAGTTTTATTGAATAAATTATTATTCAAAAATTTAAACTTTGCACTTACCTACTTTACATAGAAATTGTGTATTTTACTTTTCTTTTTCAAGGAAAACATCTAGTTTAAAAAATTAATGCTATAGGTATAGGTACTAAAAAAAATAAAGCAATAGATATTTATTAATTCTTAGTTTCTTAGTAGTTTTGGGCGAATTTTGTCAAGGTTAACAATAACAATTTTTGACTTTGACATCTACAATTTTTGTAGGTGTCAAAGTCACAAATGTAAAATATTAGCATTTCTATTTATTTTGAGCGGAAATTAAGATATGTAGATACTTACCTAATTGACCTAATTTTACTCATTCAGAGCTCGTCAATAACGAATTTAATAGTGAAAGTGTTGATACAATATACCTAATAGCTAGACTTTCAAAAATAATCTTAAATACCACACATAACAGCCAATCCACAGTCCAATTGTTAAAATCGCTCTTAAAAACAAATAAAATGACATAGGTACCTACATAATTTAAATATATTTATATTTATAATATATTATTTGATTTAATCTTGACATTTTGCTTACATTTAAAATTTGGATGACTTAAACTTCATATAGGTATCTTTTAAAATAAAAAATATGGAGATTATACTTAGATTAACTTTTTTATAGAACACCAAATCTTTTTCAAAATATGTTACCTATCCCAAGCATTACAGAACGCAAAATCACATTCCCTGCACATGTCAGGAATATTCCCAGGAATATTCCAAGCGTCCCAGAATATTCCCAGGAATATTTCTGGCATAATCAAATGTCCGCTTTTTGGTTAACCCAGGCATCATAAAAAGAATATTCCATGTATCTACCTGCAGAAGACTCAAGGATTGTTAGGGGAATATTCCTTGTTATAATTTGGGGATTATTTCCAGCCCTTATTGCCTCTTATACCCAGGAACTTAACTTAAGTATAGCCATTATTAGTTATTATTAGTTACTGAGTAGATCAGTCCCACTCTAATCATTGTTTAGCTGTGCTATCACAGACGCACATCTCCAACTGATATTATTAACCTATCGGTATATATAGTTATCAAGCGTGCGTAAACAACGGTGAGAGGTATTGCAACTAAACTAATGAATATTCACTGGGAATGTTTAGGGGCGGTCCCAGTACCGTAGTGGGAGTTAAGTTTTGGCTGGACGTGTCGTACACGTGATTTGGTACAGGTTATCTGTATCTAGGTAATTTTTTATTTTTATTTGTGTGTGCGGTGTGTGAGCCGCGTCATATCAACAATGTCGCTTATTTCTTGATTTCTGCCCGAATAATTTCACATAATTCCTTATTTTTGCCCGCATAATTGGCGCATATTTTCCCAATTTTGCCCGCATAATTGCCGCATAAAATGGTACAATTCCTGCGCATAATTTGGAGTTTTTAAACGCATAATTTAGTTGCCCCTAGGAATGATCTTAGATGATGCTTGGAAGTTTTAGAGGATCATTCTAGGAATATTCCCAATGAATATTCCTGGAATGAAGCGGATTATTCCTAGGCGATAGGGAATATTTTCGAACCTTCATTGCGGTCTGGGTATGGGACTATTGAAGAAACTTTAAAGTGTTTTGCGACAGTCGCTGATCTCTTTATATTACTTTTTCATTACTAAGTTACGACTACGTTGCTAGAGCGATATAATTACTTTAATTTATTTGTTTTTACTTCTATAGTACATATTTGAAAAGCAAAGTCCGCAGTGGTTCAATTTAAAAAAGGAGGAATAGTATAATCTAATATAAGTTTGACAAAGACAGTTAATATATATATATTAACTGTCTTTGTCAAACTTATATTAGATTATACTATTCCTCCTTTTTTAAATTGAACCACTGCGGACTTTGCTTTTCAAATATGTACTGGTAGTTTATAACTTCCAGAATAACAATATAATGTTTAATTAGGCAGGTAAATTTATAAACCCTTTAAATTTTTACTGTTGAACATATGAGTTTAGTTTTTTTTAAATAAATGCGCTTCATCAATATTTAAGTATAAACAAATTATTTATTTAATAATGTTTATAAATAAAAAATCTTCATATTTATTATTAATTTTTATTGAATTATTAATACCGTCTATTACCAACAAAATTACTATTTATTAAAAAGTAAACAACCATTTACAAACAATTAAAATAATTTATTATTTACATTAACACGTGGTACTGTACAGTAAGAAATGGCCGATAAGAAGCATTTTCCTTTGAAGTAGTTTTCGCTACTTTAAAGTTTTTTTCCACGTTAATTTACTTTACGGTAGTTTTGGTTAGTACCATAAATGTTCCAAATACTAAAATAATAACTTTTAAGTTATTAACTTTGTAGTTTTTAACTCATGTTCCAGTATCGAGATATTAACTTGCCAGGGGACTACAAAGTAAAAATAATTATAATGTAATCTTTAGGTAGCAACCGAAAGTAACTTCTACAAATTAAATTTACTTGAAAGTTTTTTTTACTTATAACACCCTTTTTAAAGTTGCAAAGTCTTCTTGGGGGCAACCAAGTTTTACTTTAGTTTATTACTTTATATGTAGTACCATTTAAAGAAAGAGTGAAGTTTCTGTTACGAAATATTGCTATTTAAAAGTTAGAATTACTTGTAAGTAAAAAATAAAGTAGCTGTTTATTATACTTAACTATAACTAGGTATACTTACATTTGTTCCATACTTTTACTAACATTTTACGTGGATGTTTACACAATTGTGTAAAATAGCTTAAGCTAGTTATTGTATTATACTTTTACTTGATGCTTGTAGTAAATGTATGCATTCCCTACTAGGGAATCCCTAGTAAATGTAAGCATTTACTATTAAAAGTACACTTTTACTAGTTTTTCACGTAAATGTATTAACTGTATAATTCATATACTAGGTAATTTTGTATACATTTACTGAAATGTATACTTTGACTGTATAGTTTATTAGGCAATTATATTTGCCTATAGTCTTATAAGAGTGTGTCGTTTTGTTAATTAACATTATGTAGTGTTTTAACAAGAAAAAATTGAAGGAAATTAAAACATGTGGGGCGTTGTGGATTTGCTACTTTTTTAATGGCTAACGCTTCTTAAGAAAAAACACCACTTTTACTTTATTAGTATAATATCGATAAATATTCTACAAACACTGTATTGATACGACCTATGAGTATCGTTAATTTATATCGCTAAATTAAAAACAACGATATATATGCAAAATAGGAAAATTGTCTACCCAATAGGCCTTCACAGCAGTACCTCGTACTTAACATTTTATGAAAATGCGTGTTTATATGTAGAATAACTAGCTCCATCTATAAGCCAAATTAAAATAAAAAGTACTAGTCAATAAGTCAGGAATTAAAAATAACGATTATAATTTTGCTCAACTTTCGGAACTAAGCGAAATCGATATTTTTTTTTGTATCGATACGCCCAATGTATCGTTAAACCCACAATCAATTGTGGTTAAACCTGTCTCTACCACGAGCCGCCACTGACTCTGATGTATATTGTTTATAAGGAATCGATATAATTTTATCTGTGTTGAATAATTTAATGATAACACTATATAGAAATTGTATAAACAATATTAGTGTGCTGATAACCGGATTATTATGTCAGAATTTACCCAGGTCACTTTTAAAACATAATCGACTGCATAAATACTACTGAGTGTCCAGTGAAATGACCTTGTAATATCATTAGTAAAGTAAAATTTAAAATATCGTGTTTAGGTCAATAATCATTACATAACAATAAAAATACTTTATTTTAAACAGTCTCTGATATAACTCGTTTTAATAAAGTTGGGCTGTGATTATCACAGCGTGATAGTTTTGTATATTATAGGTAGTATTTCCGTAAGATTTTGTTAAGGGTGCGAAATACCCCCTAAAGTGTGTTTTAGTACGATTTAAGTGTTTTTTTTTGTTGTTTTAGACAAACAAAAATGTCTCTAAATCCTGTGTACCAAAAACAACCATTTAATCGACCATGGATGACGGATAATTCTGCTGCTGCAGCCGCAGGGGGAAAAGGACTTAAGGGTATCATCGCAGGTAAAATTTATTTTTTTATTTAAGGGCCAATTTCATAATTAATTTGTAGTGAATTTAAAGTCCACTTTAAAATGTAAAACCGAATTTAGCATTTTAAAGTACACTTTAATTTACCCTGACTTGTTATTGACACCATTTAAAATAGACCTTTAGAATTTAATGCCAAGTCTAAAAACAATTTTGAAAAAAAACATTTTTTTCCTAAATGACATTTTATTGACATATGAAAAAATTCTTAACCTGCTAATAAAATTTATTATTGAATATTTTAATGCATTTTAACAAAATTAAGTTGACAGCAATAGCAATGTTGTCATGTTTAAATTAAAATTTTGCTTAATAAAATGACGCATAGAAAGAGAAATTGACGTTTTAGAATTTCGAATTTTAAATATTTCGTTTAATTCGTGTATAATGTTGTTAACAAACATGTTTGTGTTATTTTATATCGTTTAAGTTTTAATTGCCATTTTTGTGTTTGTTATATATCGTTTTTCCTATATTTAAAATGCCAAAGCATTTAAATAGTCGGAGTCAAGTGTTGGTATCTCTAGAGAGGTAAATAGGATTATTATTAATTATATATTAGAATATTTAACAAAATATAATATATATTATGTTGGATACATAAAATAATAATATATATATACCAGAGACTGACTTTAGATGGCAAAATTTCTGGATTTTATAGCTGAAAATGTCTTTAAAAATGGCTAAAAACATATTTTTGGCGGTGCATCATATAGGTTATAAAACTGTGACTTTTGACATTTTGGTATTCTGTCCCAAATTTAGGGACCCTATTAGAGTAAGATCCCAGAGCTCCCAGACCTACGTCATTTTAATACTGCTGAGATTTTTTTAATAAATGTCTTAATATGTAGTTAAAAACGTATGGGTACTTGCTAGCTTGAAAGCGGGGCCCTTTTACAGATAACGGGCACTAAAGGTACATAAAAAAGGTACCTGTCTACGTTAAAGTAATACCGCTGGTTTTCATATATGTTTTACACATTGTTATTAAAAACCAACATTCATTATTGCCAGACGCATTCCAGGGGACCTAACTTCCGCCAGACGCTTTAAAGGTCAAGGAAAAAGGGGGGAAACTACGTTATAGTAGTACTTCTGAATTTTACATATTTTATTTGGTTGGCTATTTAAAGACCTTTTATAAGCAGCCAGACCAATCCGAGGGGCCCAAGCCCCCCCAGACGCTTTAAAGGTCCAGGAAAATGGGGAAAGCTACGTTATAGTAGTACTCCTGCATTTTACATATTTTATTTGGGTGACTATTTTAAGACCTTTTATAAGCAGCCAGACCAATCCGAGGGGCCCAAGCCCCCCCCAGACGCTTTAAAGGTCAAGAAAAAATGGGGGAACCTTCGTTATAGTAGTACTCCTAAATTTTATATATACTATTTAATTGGCTATTTTAAGATATTTTGTAAGCAGCCAGGCCAATCCAAGGGCCTAAGCCCCCCCAGACGCTTTAAAGCTCGAGAAAAAATAGAGGAACCTACGTTATAGTACTAATCCTGAATTTAACTTCTTTTATTTGGGTGACTATTTTAAGACTTTTTATAAGCAACCAGACCAATCCGACGGTCCCAAGCCCCCCCAGACGTTTTAAAGGTCAAGAAAAAATGGGGGAACCTAGGTTTTTGTACTCCTGAATTTTACATATTTTATTTTGTTGACTATTTTAAGACCTTTTATAAGCAGCCAGACTCATCCAAGGGGCCCAAGCCCCCCCAGACGCTTTAAAGGTCAAGGAAAAAGGGGGAACCTACGTTATAGTAGTACTCCTGAATTTGACATATTTTATTTGGTTGGCTATTTTAAGACCTTTTTTAAGCAGCCAGACTAATCCGAGGGGCCCAAGCCCCCCCAGACGCTTTAAAGGTCAAGGAAAAAGGGGGGAACCTACGTTATAGTAGTACTCCTGAATTTTATATATAAATTATTTGGGTGACTATTTTAAGACTTTTTATAAGCAGCCAGATTAATACGAAGGGCTTAACCCCCCTCAGACACGATAAAAAGTATACCTTATAAGATCATAGGCTGTAATATTGTATTATGTATATATATTATTTGGGTGGCTATTTTAACACCGTTAAGTGCCATTGTTCATCGTGGTTGGTAAAAGTTTAGTGTGGGAATTATGAAAATTTTGGATAATATTTAAAAAAATTGAAATTTTAAAAATTTTGGATATCCGGAAAATTTTGAAAATCTTTGAAATTTTAAAATTTTTTGAAATTTTGAATAATTTAATTAAAACTAATTTTATAACAAGAATTTAAATATTATTAAATCATTATTAAAAAATTCCATAAAGACAAATACACTTGTGTAACTTAAATTTCATGAAGCTGTCTAATAAAGCCATCTAATACTATCACTCGCACTCACATGCATGCCTTGCTCTCGTACTCACAGCGTACTTTTTATCGTGTCTGGGCGTGGTTAGGACCTTTGGAATGGTCTGGGTAGTTACAAAAAGTCTTAAAATATATAATAATAAATATATAATAATAATATATAAAATATTCAGGGGGCTTAGGCCCTTCGGATTGGTCTGGCTGCTTACAAAAGATCATAAAATAGTCTCTCAAATAATATATGTAAAATTTAGAAGTTTTACTATAACGTAGGTTCTCCCATTTTTTCTTGGCCTTTAAACCGCCAGGGGGGGGCTTGGGACCTTCGGATTGGTCTGGCTGCTCATAAAAGGTGTTAATATAATCACCCAAATAAAATATGTAAAACTCAAAAGTACTACTATAACGTAGATTTTTCCATTTTTTATTGAGCTTTAAAGCGTCTGGGGGGGGCTTAGGCCCTTCGGATTGGTCTGGCTGCTTACAAAAGATCAGAAAATAGTCACTCAAATAATATATATAAAATTCAGGAGTACTACTATAACGTAGGTTCCCCCCAGTTTCCTTGACCTTTAAAGCGTCTGGGGGGAGCTTGGGCCCCTCGGGTTGGTCTGGCTGCTTATAAAAGTTCTTAAAATAGTCAACCAAATAAAATATGTAAAATTCAGAAGTACTACTATAACGTAGGTTCCCCCCTTTTTCTTGACCTTTAAAGCGTCTGGGGGGGCTTGGGCCCCTCGGATTGGTCTGGCTGCTTAAAAAAGGTCTTAAAATAATCACTCAAAAAATATATGTAAAATTCAGGAGTACTACTATAACGTAGGTTCAGCCCTTTTTTCTTGAGCTTTAAAGCGTCTGGCGGAAGTTAGGTCCCCTGGAATGCGTCTGGCAATAATGAATGTTGGTTTTTAATAACAATGTGTAAAACATATATGAAAACCAGCGGTATTACTTTAACGTAGACAGGTACCTTTTTTATGTACCTTTAGTGCCCGTTATCTGTAAAAGGGCCCCGCTTTCAAGCTAGCAAGTACCCATTCGTTTTTAACTACATATTAGGACATTTATTAAAAAAATCTCAGCAGTATTAAAATGACGTAGGTCTGGCGGCCCTGGGATCTTGGACTATATGGTATTATTCATGTAAACGCCATCTATCGCCCTGTAGTTGCACTACCACTTTCACTTGATAAAATGTTTTTAGCATCACATTGACAACCGTGCCCAATCAGCTGATTGATGACGTGTACGTCGCGACGCGTCGTTTCCTTTTATATTTACTATATGTAATTTTATTTTAATCCGTCCAACGGTTGCTAAGTAATTGACCATTTGAGTTTTTCAAACCAATAAATTTTCTTGCCGCCTAGCCCTGGCGAAAATAAAGCGTGCATGAAAAGTGTGCAATAAGTGTGCATTTAGAGTGCAAGTCTTTATAACAATGTGCATACGCGCTATTTTGTGGTAATGTCACATTTTAAGAAATAATAAAGTTTTTTCACTCCTTATCCACATTGACATCACGCTTTTTATTTGTCAATTGTGACGCTTACATTACATTATTTTTTAGCACATTGTTTGCACAGTGTTAGTACATTGTTTAAAGACAATTTTGCAAAGCTTCAGTCTATCTTACGCATGTCACATTTATACATATTGTTAGCACGCTTTATTATTTCTCATTTATCACGCTTATATAAGTTATATTACACCTTTTTATAGCACATGGTTTGTACAGTTTTAGCGATCACTCAACAGTTTAAGCACATTTTAGATATATCTCGCTTGTGTTGGGGTAAAACATTTATTTAAAAGATGAGGTAGATTAGATCTTATGTATCGCTACTCGGCCTATGGCTAAGATCAAAGCAATCCCCGTCTTGGGGTTGACAGTGCAGGTATTTTTCATAATAAAATACAGTATGTAAGACCTACATTATGGATATTTTTTTTTAATTAAAAAAAATGTATTAAGTATATATTACACTGTTCAAAATTTCATGACCATTTTAACACCAAATTAACACCATACATGATCTATATCGATACAAACCAAAATGGTGTTAAATATGGTTCGTTGGTCCGGTGTAAATTCAAATATTAAAATAGTGTTAATTTAACTTTCACACAGTATTAAAATAAATTTTACCTGGTGTAAATTGAACTCCTTTTCAGTGTTAAATATTATGTGTTTGTGGTCAAATTAAATCATACTACAAAAGGAAAAAAAGGAAATAGGAAGTTCCTTGACGCATTACTAGTATATTACCAGTCCGGTGTAAATTCAAATATTAAAATAGTGTTAATTTAACTTTCACACAGTATTAAAATAAATTTTACCTGGTGTAAATTGAACTCCTTTTCAGTGTTAAATATTATGTGTTTGTGGTCAAATTAAATCATACTACAAAAGGAAAAAAAAGGAAAATAGGAAGTTCCTTGACGCATTACTAGTATATTACCAGTGGTATTATTCCAGAAAATGGAACCTTCAACTCGCTAGAGATAATGTTTTTAGTGAGTTCCACTAACTTAAAATACTTCAAGTATTGACAGCTGTTTCCACCTATTTAGGGTAACCTTAATAAGGTCTCTTTAGTATCGAACAACTTG